AGAGGAGGTGGGAGGAGGATTAGAAGGAGGAGGAGGAGGAGGAGGGGTGGGTGCTGGTGACCCCTGGGAAGCCGCGCGCGCGAGACTTGTCGACCTGGCCGCGGACCTCGGCGACCCCGCCGCCGCTGGGGCGGCGGCAGAGCCGCGAGATAGCGCTCCGCCCTCAATGGCACAGAAGTTAGCGTCCGCGTTTGCCGCGATGCCCTCGGCGGAAGTTCGCGTCATCCTCGAACGAAGCGTAGGGGGGGGCGGGAAGGCGGGGGGCGGTGGCTGGGAACCCGCTTCAGATGGTGGTGGGTTGTCGGTAAGAGGGGTGGGGGGCGGTAACGCGGTCGTGAGTAACGGGGAGGGGGTCGCGATGGCCGTCGCCGACGCCTGCCGAGACATGGTGCTTACGTGCTTGGCAGGGGTGGGGGGCCCGGGGAGAGAGAGTTGAAGAGGTCCGTGGGGGGCGGGGAAATGTTTTTCGGTGCCCAAACGCGTTTATTTTGGAACGTGTTTTTCTTGGGTGTCCTCTCGTGTACATTGGTGTATGTGTATGCTGGTTTTTGCAGTTGTGGGGCGGGATGTTGGGGACGCTTTGTCTTGGCTGCCGGTTAGATCTCATCGGATGCTGTCCCTGCAAAGTGTTGTCTTGCTGCTATTGTAGTGCTGCCGCCGTTTGTGTCTATTGACGAGGTAGATGCCGTGATTGATTGTGAAGGTGGCGGTGAAACATGGAGGAGAACCTCCACCAACATAGAATTATTCCCTTTGTTTTTCTTCACCTCGGGTGGGTGTCGTTGGTATCCGCACGTGATGCGCCCGCTTTCCGCGTGTACTCATAGTCGTGCATGCCGTAGTCGTTAGACCATTGACCTCGCATCCCTACAAAGCCGGGACGGAGCACGCCGGGTTCTCACCGGACCAGGCTCTCACATCACCAAGCGCGAAGCGCGGTGAGTTATTCGGCGGGGGGGGAATTATCTCCTGTCACAATCTACAACGGAACTAGGACAATTGGCACTTCGGGCAAACGCACACAAATACCAAGCCTATACTTGTACACACGCACACACACATACATTGATTCATTCGCCCACAGGACAGAGCGGAATGGGAAGTCACCACGGACACTTTCTGTACGTACAGCAGTATTCTCCAAACGCGAACTACTTCTCCGCCACAACACATCGAATATTTATATTTGGAAGATGCGCACTCACGTGGTCTGGACTATTTGCCAACTTGCTTGCTCGGGCTCATTTTTATTTTTATTTTTATTTTTTTCTTAAGATGACACAGCGAATCCATCTCTATCACATAGAAAAGAGTCAGAGACACATTAGCATGTTTTGGTTGCTTGCCTATTCGCGAGATTGATTCCACCGCTCGGTATGTAGTGCCTATACAGTACATCTGATCTCGCCTGCAAGCCCACACATCGATCGAGTTGGGGAACATGAGCATCAGAATTTTTCCTCCGTATCTCCCAGAAAAAATGTCACAGCGTCTTGGCATGCGGCATGCCGCCCGTTGTATGAATAGATAGCTAGGAGCGAAGAACGAGATTGATTGTAGTTTTCTTGTGCCCGCAATCTCCCGACGTCCCAAAAATTAAAAATTACAAATGAAAAATTACTTCCCAGGCTTGCCCAACAGGCTATCTATGTCTTCATATTTCAGTTGTTGTATTCTGAAGCCCGATAGGGATTCAGTTTCTGTCGCCGATATTCCTAGAACCTATATTCGAAAACGCCCCCACTTTTTCCGCCCCCACTTTTCCCGACCCCACCAAAAAGTGACACCACTCTCTGCATTTCACTTGATTTTAGAGTAGGCGATCTCCGGTCTCTTCCCTAAAAGCAAGTTGTTTTTCTTCGGTCGATGTTTCTCGGGCTTCCATTGACAGATTTTCGTGTGGGTTGGAAGAGGTGTCCCTCCTGGCCCGATGGATCCCTCCTGCGAGATTCGTACTAGTGCTTGGGTCAGCTTGTGAGGACGCGTCGTCAGTTGTTGTATGTCTCATTCGTAGATCTCCCCCGTGCGCGAACAACCGAACCACCCCACCCCCAGTTTTACCCGCACTGGTCGAAAGTACCGCCGCACCCACGACGGGAAGGATGCACGTCCACGGTTGGTACAGAGTCATGCACGAAAGTCGACGACTTAGGACACGGCCCTGCTAACAATGCCTCAAACTTTCGCCGATCACCACTGACCAAGGCAAGGCAAAAGACAGTGAGTGCTCGAAAGCTATGCACATCTCACCAGCACTACACTGCTGAAGTATGTAACCTCATGAGGATGTATATGTTGTGTGTACTGTGAATGCCACCTCGGACTGTAGTAGATGGTGACGTCAGATGACCTGTCGGAGATCTACCTTCGGGGTGTTGCCACAGATAGAGTCAGTGTCGGGTGGATGCTGAACCTTGCTTCAACACAAGGTCGCTCCCCCCCTGGTTCACAACACAACTATCCGTACTCGTCAGCCTCTTCACCAGAGGTTGAACCGGTGTGTATCCACACCACACATCCCAACGGGAACTTGCTCACACGCGAACCTGGAGACAACAGTCTCAATGACATAGTGGCGTCAGCGACACTTGTGAATCTTAAGCCTTGCAAGCAATCGTTTTTCACAGGTGCAATGCCAAATTATTTTTCGTTGCTGGATGTTCGTTACGTGCAACTACAAAATAGTTCACGGCGTTGTCTCAAGGTACTACTCGTACAGTTTTTTTTACACTATCGGGGCAAGACGCGCACCGAAGTGATGTTTTTTTCTGTACACCCACCCGTCGTTCGTTCGTACGGTAGATCACATGTTACCTACAGCGCCGAGGCGGACTGAAGTGACATGTTCCGTACACCTTTCGTCATCTGTGTAGTTATTCGTTCGTCGTACGGGAATAGTTGCCAAAATTCCTGAATTGCTCTCGTGCAAACTGTGGTTGTGACTGCATTATGTACGATCGATGCTCGGATGAGATATTTTGGTGACACGTTCCAAATTTTGTGACTACAAAACACAGAACATTCGTTGAATGATGGCAGTCGCCGTACGTTACGGCCCAAGTCATTTAACTCGTGTTTTTCATCAGTACTTCACCATTTCATACACTCTGGGTTATTTATGTCATTCTTGTATCTTTCAATCCGGATTCAGGCCCCGTGATTGAAGATAGGGGGGTGCTGTGAATGCCACCTCGGACTGTAGTAGATGGTGACGTCAGATGACCTGTCGGAGATCTACCTTCGGGGTGTTGCCACAGATAGAGTCAGTGTCGGGTGGATGCTGAACCTTGCTTCAACACAAGGTCGCTCCCCCCCTGGTTCACAACACAACTATCCGTACTCGTCAGCCTCTTCACCAGAGGTTGAACCGGTGTGTATCCACACCACACATCCCAACGGGAACTTGCTCACACGCGAACCTGGAGACAACAATCTCATAGTACGATACTTTTTTTTCTCCTTCCAGACTGACTGGACCACAGCAATATAGTAGTAGTAGTCTGTGGACCACTCACCGCAGTCAGTAGTCTGCATATTCTGTTGTCTCTTCCAGACTGACTGTGCTCATTGTAGACGACATCAGTCAGCACATCAGTCACCATCTATCTAATTACTACTGCAGCCTCACGTATATATGCAGCCTCACAATTCAACTGCATACATCCATATATACATGTTCATCAACTACATGAACCCATAGAAAGGCACATCCCATGTTCTCCCCTTCCCCCTAGCATACAGGCCACACATCTCGCAAGAGATCAACCTCATCAGGACGTGCACCATCCACCTTGCTTGCAGGACTAGTCTACTGCTGTTGCATCTATTTTTCGTCTCCCACGCTGACTGAGGACCACACACAGTAATCTGACTGACTGAGGACCACTCACAGCGCAGCAAGCAGTGGTCGGCATACAGCAGTGGCATCGAATTTGCGCAATTCGACTGCCAACCAGCTGCCGACTTCGGACTACTCTATCTATAGATAGATTGATACGCAATTCGACTGCCAACCATCGTCGCTGGAGTACAGGTCATAACCCTGCACTTACTTCCCGTCTGCTTGTCGCACACACACAACAAACACCCAAGCTGCTGAGATCATGTACGCCCGGCTTGTCGCCTTCGCGGCTATATCCTTCTCCTTAGGTCCTCCTGTTCGCGTCGACTCCGGCTATCTATCTATTATGGAGAAGAAAGCTCCTCCTCACAAACAAAGCCCTGCCGGCGCGAAAAATTATGCGTCCACCCCAGCAACGACCTACTGTTAAGGAGGACCCGATTCGCAGGGTATCCGTCGATTGACTTTTATTTACCAGAATCGGTACACCTTCGCATATAATATGGCGTCGTCAGCGGCAGGATACACTACTTACTATCTTTGCGTCCGGAACGGACTCCGGCGGCAATTATTCTCTCCCTGATGAATCCGTGTTACTCTCCTCGGAGGCGGTACGCGTCAGGCTGGGCAGCTGCGCGGGCAAGTCGTTCCGCA